TCACTTCATTCTCATGTCCTTTCAATGCTAAACATGGCAATCGTCGGATACTTTTATCACTTGAGTTTGATAAATTCAATGTTTGATCATACAAAGTTCTTAAATGTGCATCCCAAACATATACAAGACCATCTGCAGAAGCAGCAGCAATAAAATCTCCTTCTGTTGAAAACGTGGCTTTGCTGTAAAATGACGTAGTTCGATGTCCAACACATCGAAGAATCGTTTTCGGTTGACAATTTCGTGCATTTACTCCAAGATCAAGCACAGCAACGGAATCATTTAATACATTAACAAGTAAACGCGATGTACCATGTTGTGTAGCCAAGAGTTTTAAAGACGAAATACCACGACGTGCACCTTTTTGACTTGAACACGAAAATTCATATACTGGTCTTGACATTTCTTTCTTTTTGATTCGATTAATTCGTCGAATATCCCAACATTTGACCACAGTATCCACAGCACCAGCAGAAAAGATTTCATATTCATTTCTTCCAAATTCAACACACGTTACACTACGTGAAGAAGTCAAATAGTTGGAAGTTAGACGTCGACGTTTTAAAGTCGATGACATGAATGATGATGATACGTTTCTTGTCATTTCTTGTTCAGCATGCACATTTTCAATGGCAAGTTTTGGTGTTCCTTTTGTACGTATATCCCATAGTAAAATCTTTCCATCCCGACCACCAGATGCAAAAATGTGCTCATTTTCTCGTGCTTGACGTACACACTTCACACTCATATCATGACCTTGAAATGTTAAAAATGGGTTTGTATTCCCACTTTCAACATTCCATACTCGTATTTCTAAATCACCTGCAGCTGTAACAATATGCTTATCATCATGAGTCCAAATAACATCAAACACAGCATTCTCATGTCCCATCCATCGAGTTTTCCATTCTTTTGTATCCACATGATAAATTCCAACAATTCCTTCTTCATTAACAGCAACAAATAAATTACCACGATATGCGTATGCAACTTGAAAAATTGGTCCAGACGTATAAGAAACATTTGAAACCATTTCATGTCTGTCTCCAAGAGCTAAAACATGGTGTTTTGGACAAGAAAGTGAAGCTAAAACGGATCGTTGGAGTGAAATACGTTGAAGAGTTAGGAATTGGATGGGACATATGTCGTTAAAATACTGAGAGGGACAGTATCTTTGTCGTGAGGCACCAAGTTGTAGCCTCGTAAGTTGTGGCATAACATTTGCCATTGGGTTTTGAAAAAGTATTGTTTTTAATGTAATGGGTTGAATGATACCGGTGTCAGTACAGTTTGAAGTTGCGTTTTTGTCTGACGGACGTCATTTTTAGATTTTTCAAGGAGAAATAGACAGGAGAATGTGAACAAAACTTGTGATGACATTGTAGAGCGAGTCTGCTCTCTGGCTATTTCTCTCTCTACCAGTCATTTCATCTAAGTGTGACATGAGAAATATGGACCGTTAAGAATTGTAGTATTTCTCTGCCTTACTTCTAACTTGACATAAAACCCACACAAATGTAATGTAAGATTTACTAAAAATACTGCAAATAATTTTAACCTGATACCACTACGTAATTACTAGAAAAGGTGCGTCAGAAACGTCTCGTGTCAGAAAGTAGTCATTAAGTAGGCAGTGAATGTCAAAGCCCATGATTCAGCATTCGTGTATATGATTGGCTGTATATACTTTTCAGCTGATTATAAAATGAAACCATGGAAGGTTTTTTTTTTTTT